GATGCTGCCTCAGCATGGCTTGATGAGCAGGGAGTATGTCTGCACCCAGGATCTGAACCGGCGAACCCCGGGCCACAGAAGCGGAATGCATGAACTTAACCACTACGCCACTGGCCGGCCCCCTTCAAGCAATTTTTTGTGTGTGTGTGAGGAAGATCAGCCCTGTGCTAACATCTGCCAATCCTCCTCTTTTTTTGCTGAGGAAGACTGGCCCTGGGCTAACCTCCGTGCCCATCTTCCTCCATTTTATCTAGGATGCCGCCACAGCACGGCTTGCCAAGCGGTGCGTCGGTGCACAGGATCTGAACCAGTGAACCCCGGGTCGCCACAGCGGAGCGCGTGCACTTAACCGCTTGCACCACCAGGCCAGTCCCTCCCTTCAAGCAATTTAAATAAAAAGAATTATACACTTAAACACATCATTTTGAAAGTGAAGATTACCAAAAGAAATGAAAAGATTTTAAGAGCAGCCATAAAGAAAAACCTGCAGAGAGTTGACAAGTTGACTGCCAGTTGACTTCTCATAAGCAAAAATGGAAACCTAAGGATGGTGAAATAATATCTTCAAAATGTAGAGAGAAAATAACTGTAGATTCCATGAGCTATCATTCAAGAAGTGGACCAAAATAAAAAATTTCCAGATGAGCATAGCAAAGTTTACCACCAACAGACTCCTCACTAAAGGAATTTCTAAAGCAGTAGTTCTCAACCTTGTTTGCAAGCACCTTGGAATCAACAGGGCAGCTTTAAAACATGCTTATGCCTAGTTCCCCCCCAGCAATTCTGATTCCATTAGTCTAGGCTGTGGCTGTAACAATGTTTTCCTTCTCCTCCCCACCACCAAGATATTGTCAAAGAAGGTCAGTTGGGGAGCTGGAACATTCATCCCCACACAGCATTAACAAGCTCCTCTTCTGTGGGTCCAATGGAGGCCACATGGGACTCCTCTCCCTCCTTGCTAGAATGGTGTCAAATGGGCCTAGTTGGAAGCTTTCACCTTCATCCAGTATTAATGAGACCCCCATCCCTCCCATTCAGGGTGGTTTCAACAGAGACCCAGTAGGAAACCTGAACTTCAATCCCCACCTGTCAGTAACAAGGCAGTGTCCCTATTCTCAACTAGTATAGGGCCAAAGGAGACCCAGTAAAATAGAAAATTTAAATATTCAGAGTCTCATAATAAAATATTCAGATTCTTGTAATAGGCACCAACCCTGAGATGACATAGATGTTGGAATTACCTGTCAAAGATTTTAAAGCAGCCATTATAAATGCTTCAACAAGCAATTACAGACACACTTGAAACAAATGAAAAAATAGAAAGTATCAGCAAAGAAATAGAAGATATAAATAAGAACCAAATGGAAATTTTAGAACTGGAAAATACAACAACCAAAATGAAAAATGTACTGGATGGGCTCAACATTAGCATGTAGAGGACAGAGGAAAGGATCAGTGCATTTAAGATAGACTAGAATTTACCCAATCTGAACAACAGAGAGAAAATAGACTTTAAAAAAATTTAACAGAGCTTCAGGGACCTATGGGATTAAAACAAGTGATCTAACATTCCTGTCATCATGGTCCTGGAGAAAAAGGAGAAAGAGGAAGTGACTGAACAAGTACTTGAAGAAATAATGGCTTAAAACTTTCCCAATTTAGCAAAAGACATAAATCTATAGATTAAAGAAGCAGAGCAAACCCCAAACAGGATAAAGCCAAAGAAATCCACATCAAGACACATCATAGAGCCAGCCCTGATGGCCTAGCGGTTAAAGTCTGGTGTGCTCTGCTTCAGTGGCCCAGGTTCAGTTCCCGGGTGCAGAACCACACCACTCGTCTGTCAGTAGCCATGCTGTGGTGACGGCTGACATAGAAGAACTAGAAGGACTTACAACTAGAATATACAACTATGTACTGGGGCTTTGGGGAGAAAAAAAAAAAAAGAGGAAGATTGGCAACAGATGTTAACCCAGAGGGAATCTTTCCCAGCCAAAAAAAAGAAAAGACACATCATAGTCAAACTTCTGAAAACCAAAAACAAAGACATAATCTCAAAAGCAGCTGGAAAGGAATGACACCTAATCTATAAGATAAACAATTCAAATGACAACAGATTTCTCATCAGAAACTATGGAGGCCACAAGGGAGTGGCACAACATTTTTTTAAGTGCTGAAAGAAAAGAACTGTCAAACCAGAATTCTATATCTAGCAAAAATATCCTTCAGGAATGAAGGAGAAATCAAAACATTTTCAGAAGAAGGAAAACTGAGAGAATTTGTCACCAGCAGAACTACCTTAAAAGAATGGCTAAAGAAGTTCTTAAATGTAAAGGAAATGATAAAAGAAGGATTGGATTATCTGGAAGGAGGAAAGAACAATGGAAAGAAGAAAAATATGGGTAAATACAATAAGCTTTATGGCTCCTCTTGAGTTTTTTAATAACGTTGTCTGATGTGGTTCTCAAAGTAGGTACAGGACATATTTAAGACAATTATATTGTAAATGAGGGAAGAGAAAAGGACTTAAAGGTGGATACATGTTCTACACTTCACTCCAACTGGCAAAATGTCAGCACCACTAAACTGTGATATGTGTGTATAATGTGCCTAAAATAAGGAACAAGTAATCCATAGGAATGCAGAAAAAAGAAAACAGAGAAATGAAGAACAGAGGGAACAAAAAGAAAACAAAAAATTAAGTGGCAGATTTAAGCCCTAACATATTGATAACTACATTAAATGTAAATGGTCTAAATACAGCAATTAAAAGACAAAGATTAGTGGCCTGGATTACAAAATGACCCAACTATATGCTGACTACAAGAAACTCACTCCAAATATAACTGTATGGGTAGGTTAAAAGTAAAAAGATACACCAGGAAAACATTAACCAAAAGAAATCAGGAGTGGCTATATTAATATCAGACAAAGTAAATCTCAAAGCAAAAAAATTATCAAGAACAAAGAATGACATTATATATCGATGAAAGGGTCAACCCACCAAGAAGACATAGCAATCCTAAATGTGTATGCACCAACCAACAGCCCTGCAAAATATGTGAAGCAAAATCTAATAGAACTGAAAGGAGAAATAGAGAAATTCACAATTACAGTTGGAGACTGCAACACCTCCTCTCAACAGTTGATAAAACAATTATACATAAAGTCAACAATGATATAGAAGAATTCAACAACACCATCAACCAACAGGATTTAATCAGCATTTATAGAATACTTCACCCAACAAGAGCAGAATATACGTTCTTTTCAAGCACCAACATAACATTTCCCAAGATAGGTCATATTCTGAGAGTTATAAAACCTCAACAAATGTAAAAGAATTGAAAAAATACAGAGTACATTCTCTGATCACAATGGACTCAAACTAGAAATCAATAACAGAAAGATAACAAGAAAATCTCCAAACACTTGGAAACTAAACAATACACTTATAAACAATCCATGGATCAAAGAGGAAGTTTCAAGGAAATTAAAAAATACATCAAACTGAATGAAAGTGAAATGTTCTGGTAACCTGTTTCATAATCAGGTAATTACAAGGAGTAACTTTTATTAAAAGTTAAAAAATAATTCTAAAAAACTAGTTTATTTCTGAATTTGAATATTGCTATAAGAATATTTCATTGATTCCAATTGCTATTGCTGCTCTTGAACAGTTTCTTGGAAACAGATCAACAATTTTACTGAAAGACAGCAAGAAAAAAGTTTTATAAAATAAATACATAGGGGGCCCGCCCAGTGGCATAGTGGTTAAGTTTGCGTGGTACGGTTCAGTGGCCTGGGGTTCGCAGATTTGAATCTCTGGCACCGACCTATGCACCACTTGTCAAGCCATGCTGTGGCAGGCATCCCACATAAAATAGAGGAAGAGGGGCAGAGATGTTAGCTCAGGGCCAATCTTCCTCAGCAAATAAATACATAAATAAATAAATATATATGATTTGTGAATTATTTATCTTATTGTATTACTCCTCTGTCCAAACATCCCTGGCCCATCAAGAGAATACTCAGACATGAGCAAGAGTAATAAAATTCCATCAGTTCTGATATTTTGCCAACTTTCAGTCATATAAAAAAGAGCTTTACACATTTTTTCATTTTTTATCATGAATATGTATTTGTGAAAATAAGAGGCAAACATATTTCATTTAACAAATAGTAACTTGATTTATGTCTTTTAAATATTTAGACACAGCATATGTCTATTTTCATTTCTTCTCTTGCCCTGGGCCCAGCAGATTTTAAGGGTGGGTTTGGTCCTAACCTCCTTGACCCTCAGACCCTCAGCTTCCTTTTCCCGAAAAGGAGGATAACCCTCCTGAGCTCACGGAATTGGGACGAACCAGGCACCTGAACAAATACGGCTAATATAAATTCCCTCACTCTCCTGAGGAAGAATCTGTGTTCAAGGAGTGTTTTGGAGCTTTTGTTTTGTTTTGTTTTATTCTTTTAAGATTTTTTATTTTTATTTTTTGGGGATGCAGGGGAGACAAACATGTTTGAGGCTCGTGGGTAAGGCAGTGGTTGAAGACACCCGAGAGGGATGTGCGCTGGCGGGGTGGGATCTGCTCTGAGCAACTGGCATTGGTAGTGGGAATGGAGAAGAGGAATCCCCATCCACCCCCGCAGGAAACGCTCCAGTGACTGGAGGTGTGTGCCTGTGTGTGCCTGTGTGTGAGGAGGGGTTAGCTCCGACTCCCGCAGACATCAGCACGCATGACGAAGCTACTTCCCCTCACGCGGTCCAAGGTGCACACGCGCGATCCACGGCCACGCCCGCACACACTCGACACACACAGGGCAACCGAGGGTCCGGTTGCCATGGCGAGCAGGAGCGCGTGAGCCCAGCCGCCCCTCCCGCCCCCGGCCGAGCCCGGTCAACTCCAGCTCCGATTGGTCGCTGCTTCCTCATTATGCAAATTATTTGCGTAGACTCGGCGCCCAGCTTCCTGACGTCATCAAGCACGGGGGCTGGGGCTCGGGGCTCGGCTCCGGGAGAGCTCGGGCGGGAGCCCAGAGAGCGCCGCGCGGGGACCTCAAGCTAGACCCCAGCGTCCCGCCGCCTTGGCCCGGGCCTGCCCCGCCCCCGGCCCCGCCCCTTTCCCGCCCGCCCCACCCCCTCTACGCCCCTCCACCCGGACCCCGCCCCCTGAGCAGCCCCCCGCTCTCGCCGCCTGGGCCCCGCCCCCTTCCCCTGGCCCTCACCACCGGTCCAGGGAGGGGACAGTGGGACAGGCAGGACCGGTGGGACCGGCGGGAGGGCGGACCGGGCGGGGACATGGCCGCGGCGCCCGGAGGGTCTGCGCCGCCCGCCGGCCCCAGCCCGCGCCTGGGTTTCAGCACCGCGGACAGCGGCGTCGGCATGAGCGGGCTGAACCCCGGTCCTGCCGTGCCCATGAAGGACCACGACGCCATCAAGCTCTTCGTGGGGCAGATCCCGCGGGGCTTGGACGAGCAGGACCTCAAGCCGCTGTTCGAGGAGTTCGGCCGCATCTACGAGCTGACGGTGCTGAAGGACCGGCTCACCGGCCTCCACAAAGGTGCGCGGGGTCAGCCCAGCCCAGCCCAGCCTAGCCCCAATCCGATTAGAGTGCGGCCCGGCCCAAATCCCAGGCTCAACCGCAGCCCCAACCCTAGCCCTACCTAGAGCTAGTCCAACACCAGTCTAATACCAGCCCCACTTCAGCCCAGACTCCTCCCCAGATCACAGAGCCCTCAACCCAGAATTTTCTCTCTGATCATCACTGACGTGTTATCCACTCCAACCTCCAACTCCCTACTTTTCACCTTTCACATCTCAACAGTCCCCGCCTTTCACTTGTACCTCCCACCATCCCTCCTATCAGACATCCCAAATCCTGGAATTTGTAAACTTATTCCACCTTCTAGATCTCTAATACCCTCAATCTCCCAAACCCTAGACCCAATCATTTCCAAATCCCCCCACCTGATGCCACCCCACTCAGGCCTGACCACTCACACGCACATCTTGGACTTGCATCCCTCTTTCTGGCCTCCAAGCCCAGCCAATCCCCAGAGCCTTCTTTTGACTCTTACACTGCCAGCCTAAAACCCCAAAAACCCAAACTCTCCCCTTCTTCAGAACCCAAGCCTGGCTAACTCACAAAATCCAGTTCCCCTCCCAGGAAGCTCTCAGCTCTAAAGTCCACCCTCATGTTTAACAATAACCCCAATCTCTCCTACTCACTGCCAAAATCCCAACATTCTGCCTCTTCTGATTTGAGTCCAGAACCCTGACCTCAGCTGGGAACTCCTGCCACCTTGTGCCCATCATCTCAGGTTTCCTCTCAGCTGAACCCACACTTCTTTCATTCTCTAATCTTCCCACTCCTGTGCCTCATCTTTGCCCCTCCCCAATCCTCTTTATGGCCTCCTGCTTTCCCTCCCTCACAGGCTGGTCCTGGACAAGAGCTTTTCCCTCCCTCACAGGCTGGTCCTGAACCAGAGCCTCAGGGTGGGTCAGGTTGAAGAGGCAGAAAGGGGTCTTCTTGTCCTTGCTGGAGAGACAGAGGCACCACAGTCCTGTCCAGCCACACCCCTTTCTTCCTGTAGAGAGAGGGAGGAGGCTTGTTTACATGCAGAAAAGTCTGTCCAGGCTGGCCTGGAGTAAAAGAGCCAGAGTCGCATGTCATACATGGGCAGGGAAAGGAAATGATTTGAGGAGAAACACCTTTCTCTCTCTCCAGCTTCACCATGCTGCGGTTTCAGGATTTGGGGGGGAAGGGTCACCAACTATCCTCCATGGTCTTTCTAGGAGAGACGTGGTGGGCGCTGAGTAACAGCTAAATGTACTTTCCCAAGGGCTGAGAGCTGGAATCAGGCTGCCACTTCTTTTCAAGTGGGAAGCCTTGCAGTGTTCTCAGGTGCACTAATGTAGGGACTTCAGGAGAAGGCCCATAGAAGATCTGGGATCAGCTAGGTATCAGTTCATTTTCCACCCTTTGGGGTGGGGTTATTTTAAAGAGGATATGAAAGGACAAGACCATACCATCCAGATTCCTTCTAATGCAGTCCGGCTGCCCAGCTATCCATCCATCCCATAGCAACTTCTTTTCCTATTTTCTAGGCATTTATTTCAGTATGTAAGCACAAGCTAATCTTTCTGGGTTATCTGTACAATAAGGGAAGTGTATAGAATACCTTTAATTCTCACTCTTCTCACTCAAACACTATCAGAGTCTCTGACATTTTCTCTCATCCTTTCTCTCTCTCTCTCTCTCTCTCTCCATTTAGCTCTAATTCTTTCTGTTTTTTTTTCCCCCATTCATCTGTCCCTCAAGCCATGCTTCTCTGACTTCCATCCTTCCATTCTTCCACCCCCTAGCCCAGGTAGTCCACATAGGACTCCTTTAGGCAGCGAAAGTGCCCCTGAGCCTTTCAGACAAGGCCCCAGCCCTGCTCAATTTTGACATCAGATGATATGGCTTGGTGGCAGAAGATGAAGCAGAGATGTAAATGCAATCAGGTGTTCGGTGATTTATCCCCCAAACAACCCACAACTCTCCAAGGTAGAGTTGCCTTGCAAGATGATTGGGGAGGGTCTCCAAGTCAACATCTTCCTCATCTTCTACCCAGCAACAGTGACGTCCAAAAGCCAGAGTGACTCATTTTCCTCTTGATGGCTGGGTACCGAGGGAGGCAGCCACAGTGCTTTGAAAACAAGCTCAGCCTAGGAGTTAGTAGATTCAAAACCCTATCCTGCCACTGACACACTCTCTGGGCTTCAGTTTCCCTATTGATATGATAAGAGTTTGTCCCAGGAGTTCTCTAAGCTCCCTTTAACTCAATGAATGGTAGATATCCACCCACTTTAAGGGGGCAGCCACACAGGAGATATCAGAGAAAATGTTCCCATTTGCCTTTCTAGTCTGCTGAGGTCTAAGTGGAAAACTGCACCAAGCTCCTAATGGCTTCCCACATCCACTTTCTCTTCCTTCAGTCTTTCTCCTTCCTACACTCAGAAGGCTCTTTTTGAAAACACAGATCTTATGTCACAACCCTACTTAAAACCCCTTAGAAGCTCTCCACTACTCTTAGGAAAAAGTTCAAAATCCACACTGAGGCATACAAGATTATAGATGACCTGATCCCGGCACACTCTGGCCACTCTGCCCCCATTCATCAATCTCTAACCATACTAGCCTTCCAGTCATTTCCCCAACACATCCAATTCTTGACTCAGTCTTCATATATGCTATTCACTCTGCCTGAAATAATCACCACCCTTCTTGTCACTTGGTTAACCCCTATTTGTTATTGAGGACTCAATGTGTTCTTTGAGACATTCCTCAACCCTTTGGACTCAGTTACGCGCCCCTCATAATCCTTTACATAATCCCCATGAGAGCAGGGAATGTGTCTGTCTTGTTGCCACTTTATCCCCAAGCCCATCATAATGCCCCACAATAATAGCTAAGTATTCAATAAGTATTTTCTGAATGAGTGAGTGCTCAACGACTGTTAGAAAGGAAGAGATCCCTGTCCCAGTGCTCCCTAGCAGGCTACAGTTTCTGAGGCTAAACAAAGAGGGATAGGACTGACCCTTTGGCTCAACCCACACTCCTTCTTGGCCCTATATCTACTCGCTCTTTTAGAGAAGTCAGATTTGGGGCACAATAACCCTTTAAGAGGTCCTATCTTGAAGCCCTGGGAGAGCTGATAGATCAAGCTCCTTGGATAGGATTGGAGGTCCCTGGAAGCTCCCACCTACAGGAAGCCCTTAAACCAGTCCCACCTTCCAAGCCTCAAATTAATCCATTCCTCAGCTTCAAACTTGGAGAAGGGAGGTGTTAGGAAGGAGTTATGGGGTCCTGGGCTTGGATCCCAACCCTCCTCCTCTGCCTCCTCCCATCTGAAACTGAGTTGGGAAGGAATTGAGGCTGATTCTGGGAGACTCTGTGAGTATGCATCCAAAAATGAAGGGGGAGGCTGGGGTTTAAGCTAAAGGCAAAGCCGCTTAGGGAGGTTTAACCCCAACAGGACTTATGGCTGGAGTGGGGTGGGGATCTGTGGGATTGTATGAGCATGTGACTGGGTGTGGGTACACATGTTCCCTAGGCAAGAGGCCAGGAGCAAATGAGAGGGAGCCAGAGCCTGGGACACAGGCATATGAAGCCTCTCCCTTCAGAGAAGGTGAGAGGCAGAGAAGGCTTCTCAGACGCAATGTCTCTGTTTAAAGGAGAGTGGCCTCAAGTTTGTCAACTTAATGAGGTCTTCCCATAAAGAGTATTTGGGGGTTTCAGGAAACTCCCTGAGCCAGCCTCTTCCTCCCCAGGCTGTGCCTTCCTCACCTACTGCGCCCGGGACTCTGCTCTCAAGGCCCAGAGTGCACTGCATGAGCAGAAGACCCTGCCAGGGGTAAGTCCACCAGGGTTGGGGGGTGGGAATCACCTCAAGCTGGGGACATGCCCTATGTGCATGCCAAAGCAACATGTAGGGGCCGGGTGGGGACCAGGAACTAGAAGCAGAGTCATCTTTCTAGGAGTGGGCTTACCTGTGCCCTGAACAGCTACAGGTTCTTTGTTATATTCAGTCTTCTGGCTCAAAGAAATGAGCTCAAGACTCTTGGGCCAAGTGTTCCACCCCATCTTTTAGGAGAGGCATCAGTGTTGTGGGCTACGCTAGAATTTGTCCACCTCGGCTAAAGTCATGGGTTTAGGTGTTTGTCACTGGTGTGAGCATGTATGCAGATATATGGTGTAGAGTCTCTGCTGGGCTGGTATCCCATTTCCTCCAGCACTAGAGTCCTCGATGGCACTTCTCTCTGGTCCTCTTCCTGCAATGTTTTTTTGGGGGTGCCTTGGCTCACCAAAATTGCCTTCCCTCCATACCCCAGACACTTAGCTAAAGTTAAGAGAGACCTGATTCTATGGGCAGCTGGGCCATTATGTATCAATAACACCTGCTATGGCCTTGGCTAATGGCAACTCACTGGACAAAAGGTAAAGTGGGATCTACTGACCATGTGGCAGGAAGAAAGTAGTGATTGTTAGGAACTAGCATGAGTTCACCAAGAGCAAGTCATTCTACAAAGCGTCATTTTCTCTTGTCCAAGGAGGGATGTGTCCGGAAGAAGAGCACTATTCAAATGCCCTGGACGGGCCAAACCTGGGATTATATCCAGTTCTATGCCTCAGATTTAAGAGGGTCATTAGCCTACCAGAAAGAGACCAAGATGGGATGGGAACATAAAATATATCATGGGATGATAGCTTGAAGAAATTGGAGATATTTAGCTAGAGAAGATAGGGTTTAGTGTGGGCTTTAATAGGGAGGCATCATGATATAATAATTGAGAATACCAGTTTTCGAGTCTCACAGACTGGATTTGAATCCCAGCTCTGCCATTTAGCAGTTCTGTGCCTCCAGATACATTACTTAGACTCTTGAGCTTCAACTTCCTCATCTATTAGGAGTGGGTTATACTAACACTTAGCTCACTGGGCTATCGTGAGGATTAACTGAGGCTTAGCAAGTGCCTGGCACAGAGTAAGATCTCGATAAATATTACTGTTGGGGTGGGGTAACTGCCTTCAGAGTCTGAAGAGGGATTTGGCTTTCTATGGGTGGCCCCAAAGGGCAGAGTCAGGATCAGTGGTTATAAAGAACAGGCACACTAATTGCAGCTCAGTATAAAGGACTCATTTCTTCGAATTGGAGCTGTCCAGCAATGGGACAAGCTATTAATGGGGCGTCAGATCCTAGAACCAATTCCAGTAATTGAAGCAACTTGAGCCTCACTCTTGAACACTCAGTGTCAAGTAACACCAACTTGTCACCCTCACCAACCCTGTATGCAGGCCCTGGAGTCAGACAGACCCGGGTGTGGATCCAGGCCCTTACCACTCACTTACTCAGTGACCTTGGGCAAGTCTTTACCTCTCTAAGCCTAAACTTCCTCATCTGTAAAATGAAACACATAGGGTTGTTGTAATAATTAAATGAACTAAGTCATGTTAAGTGCTGAGCACAGTTCTTGGCAGACAATAAGCGCTCAATATGGGTTAGTGGTAGTAGTAGTAGTAGTAATAGTAACAGCAGCATTAGTAGGAGTAGTAGTAGAAATCATTATTCATCCAACTATGGGAGTAAATGACTTCTGCTGCTAGAATTGGGAGTCAATGAGACAAACTTGTAACATTCCACATGGGAAACAGCATGGTAAAGGTGCAGAGACAGAAAGAACAGGATGGGTGTGAAATGGGGGTGGGTGTGTGGGGGAGGGCCCAAGTGGGCATGGGCAGGCTGGAGAGAAGATCTGCAGAGGGCAGTAGTTGAAGAGGAAACTTTTGATGCCAGGCTTAGGGGTTTGGACTTTATCCTGAAAGCAAATGGAAGGTGCTGAAAAAATTAAGATGGACTTTGGCAGAACGAAACCCTTCCTTAACCAGCCACAGGGCTCCAGAAGATAAGAGGGACCTGGGGGACTCTATGAGGCTGAAGGCACCTGAGATAAGAGCTGTGAAACCCTAGACTTGTGGGATAATTTCTGGGAGAAAAAGGAAAAATAATAACTAATATTTATTGATCCCAGACAGTGTTTCTAGCACTTTACATGTTCAAAGTCATTTAATCCTCTGTGGAGAAGGTGTTATTATTGGCATTCCCATTTTACAGATGAGGAAACTGAGTAATAGAAAACAAGTGACTTGCCCAAGGTCATGTAGCTACTAATGGGAAGATCTGGGCTTTGAACCCAGGTACTCTGGCTCCAGAACTCATTCACTTAACCACTGCACTATTACCCGAGCCAAACTGGTGGCAGACAGAGGTCTAAGGTTCTGGAGGGGATGGTGACTGAGTACATCTGCCCCCTCCCACCCTTTCATCTGCAGGGTTCCAACATGGCCTGGCTTCCTCTGGTACTGCCAGGATTGGCTTTATTCACCCTCCCCGGCTTAACAAAGTGAAAATTAATATTTAATTATTCTCCTAAATGAAAATCGATGGCTCTGTTGGCCATCCCCAGCAATGTCCGTGCCATCAGTCTTTCCTCTGAGCCTGACAGGGACAGCAGCAGGTTTAGTCCCCTGGCCTCAGGCCCACCAGCATAGAGGGAGGAGGATGCCCAGATCTCTGCAGGCACTGGGTCCTGGGCACAGCTGCCATCTGCTGGAGAAGCAGGGACAAGACTTTAGTCTGTGCTCCTACTAGAAACAGGCAGGACTGTCACAGTGGGAATAGGAAAGTTTGGGTCAACCTCAAAGAGAAAGCCTGGATCCCTAGGGGAAATTTCATGGTATCCATTGGATGGCAATTCCCCCTTGGGTCCCCTCCACCTGCCCCCTGCTAACTTCTGTCACCTAGTAAAGCTTGGCTCCCTACTCAGGACTTCCTTCAAACCTCAGTGGTCTGTCTCATCTTCTGAAGCCTCTTCCCTATGAAGCTGGAGCTACTTCTTTTAGCCTTACTTTAGGCTCGAAAATCCACCTGAAGAAGATGAGGCACAACCTCAGCCTCACCTTCTGGGATTCAGAAGGTGCCCCCCTACTTCTCTCTCTCCAGGCTCATGACCTCCTTTCCCTCGGGCATTCATCCCTTCAAACACTGTGAAGCAGGCAGACATAACAGAGTACAGTTGCTTTTGCAGGTTGTGTCCTTCACAAAACAGCTTGAGTAAAAAGGGCAACTGGGGGCTAAAATCCAGCCATGCTTGATTGACCAAGCCATGCACATTATCACAGAGCTGTGTCAGCCCAGAGGAAGGGGCACATTTTTTCTAATTCATCCGCAGGGTTGTGAGAGTGTCTTTTTGTAACTCACACAAAGGCACTGTATGTGCTAGAAGCTGCCCAGTGAAGGAGTTGGAGCCTTTGCCCTCAAGGAGCTTCCAGCCCAGAAAAAAACCCATTGCATTTCAGTGGGGTTTACATCTGGGCATGCAAAAGAGGCATCAGGAGTGAGGAAGGAGGAAATGCTTCACAGAGGCGATGCTGTGTGAGCTGAATCATGATCATATTTCACCATGTTTGAGGGTCTAGAAACCTAAAAGACAAAGGCCACTTCTGGAATTATGGGGACAGTGTGAGAACTAGCAGGGAAAGTGTCCAGCAAAGTCAGCTAAGGTTCCATGTGAATGGAAAGTATTGTGCATGTTGGGCAGCAGGGAAGGCAGGACTCACAAGTTTTGACTGCCAGTCTTAGGATCTTGGGCTTTATTGTGAGGCTTGTAATGGACAACCATGGGTGGATTTTAACCAGGAAAGAGTGAGGGACTAGTTTTAAAAGATCACTCTGGCTACAATGTGAAGGGTGGGTTGGAGAAGAAGCAACACTGAGGGCAGATGACCATTTAGGACACTGTTGCTTGAGCGCAGGTGAGTAATGATGCTGGCCTGGAGCTGGGGATAGGGCAGGGATGGGGAGGAGAGGATGGACTTAAGAGCTATTTAGGATATTCCTACAGATTCTAGAATCAATGGGACATGGTGGTGGATTGAATTAGAGGAGGAGGGTGAGGTAGAACAAAGTGCTGAAAATGGTGAAGTTTGCTTTTTCTCTGATCCACCCTTCCCTGCACCCATGACACCTCTCTTAGACCCACCAGTGGTCCCTTTTTTGGGGAGGTTCTGATAAACACACTTCCCATGGTGGGGAGAAAAGGCTAAGGGCATGAGTGCTGAGTGAAGGGAATAGTTGGCATCAGGACAGAAGAGTCTGAAGAGGGTAATGCTGAGCCCAAAGGCAGGAATTTTAGGCAAGTCAAGGAAGGAGAAGGGGTATGGTCTTGCCTTCACTTCTGCTCACAGGGGCGGAAGGACCAGGGCCTCATGTGTGTCTGTGCTGCCTCCAATCTTCCCCACTCCACTGCCTGGAGTAGGTTGTTCTCTCCTCTTCTGACACTCTCTCCCTTGATTTCTCCTCCAGAGCTGGGCCCTGAAGCAGACATGGGCCTGGACTACACCTGGGAAAATCTCAAGGGAACAGGTGCTCAGCCAAGGGCAAGAGCTCACCTGAGGTCCCATGACAAGTTCTTGGCCAAGGATGATGCCTTCTTTTCCTCAAAGGGGAACCATGATTACCTCACCCCACTCCCCCGTCCCTCCCCTGGCTGTGGCAGGAATAAGGCAGGGGAGGGTTGCCTAGGCAGTTCATGTGGGCAGCTCTCTTTCTCCTCCTGCCACACAGAGCATGCCTAAATCCTGGTGTCCTCCCTAACCACTTCCCAGTGGGGAGTGGGAAGCACTACTCTCCCCAGCTCTGTCCTCATCCTCTTGGGCTCCTCCCTTGGGAACTTCTCCTGCACCTCCAAACTCCCAAATTGCCAACTTCTCCAACCTCTAAACCATAAACCTGAGAGTCAGCCAGCATTCCCTCCTCTCCCTCAGACTCTACCTCCAACAGAACTTTAGTCCAGTAAATTCTTCCTAAACATCTCCTGAATCTGTCCATTTCCTTCTGCCCTGGTCCAGATCACCCCCATCCCTTACCTGTGTCACCGATCTTCCTGCCTCTAATCTTTCCCTTTCCAATCCTTTCTCTGCATGGTGACAGCTCAGGGGATCCTTCATAAGACAAAAAGGACTAGATTATTCCCTTACTTAATATCCTTCCCTGGATCCCTGTTGCCTTGGAAATACAACAAAGTAAAAATTCCTTGTCTTGGTTTTCACAATCTGCCTTAATTTGGCCCCCGCCTATCTTTCAGTTTCACTTCCTTCCATTAAAAAAAAAAAAACTACTACATCTGGTAAACTACGAAGATCTAGCCTTCGTCATTTTCACCACAACACTGCAAGGTAGGATCATGATTCCTCCTTTTGCTAATGTGGATGCTGAGGCTCAGAGATCTTAGAGAAGTTGCCAGTGATGGAGCCAGAATTTAAATCCATGTCTATCTGACTCAGAAGCAATTTGCTCTGCCCTGGGTACCTCTGTGCAGGTGCCCACCAGAACCCTTGCTGCTTCAGAATTGCAGCTCCTTCTCCACACCCCAGCCATCTGGAATGTTCAGCCTCCAGCCCTATCTCTCCCATGATCTCCACATGGCCGGATGACCCTAGTTCTGCAAGGCCCAGGTCAAACTCTACCTTCTCCATGAAACTTTCTCTGAGTCAACCTCTCCAGCTGGAGTCAGCCTCGCCCACAGCGCTTTACCTTGCATTCCTCCTAAGGCCCTGGTCCCTCTGTGCCTCATTATTTGTGTTGGTGTCTTAAGAACAGAGTTGAGCAGTACAATGCAAAACTCATGGACTTCAGCCTCATACAGACCTAGGGGCATATCCCAGCTCAACCACTTACCCACCATATGATCTCGGACAAGTGATTTACTTCCTTCAGCCTCAGCTTTCTCATCCATACTATGGGGACAATTACCTTGCAGAGATGTTGGAAGGAATTTAGAGACAATGTATGTAAGTGCCCCAGGAAGGGCCTGGTGCATAATGGGCTCTCAGGAAATGGTGGCATTATCTTCCCCTCTGTGAGCCTTTAAGGACAGGGTCCCCAAGGTCATCGCTGTCTCCCCTGAAGGGCCCAGCCCGGAACTCTTCACAGAGTTCAGGAAATGCTGGCAGCAAGCCCAAGTGGTGGAAAACCTAAGTGCCTAGCCTCTGAGGCCTGGACTCTGCCAGGTCCATGAGGTACATGTATGTACCACCTAATGCCCACTGTCCATCAATGAATGGGGAAAAGGGGAGGGGGGCAAAAGGGCATCCCCCACAGCACCAGTGAGCTCTGTCTCCCCAGAAACCCAGCCGGGGAGGCAGCTGCCATGGAAACCACTGCTGTCATGTGTGCTCATCACTCTAGGCTCCAGAAAGAAATTCTCAGGATCTATTTAAGAACTAATAAAATAATGATGGTCTTGCTCACCCTCACTGCCCCCCACCCCAGGCTTCTACCCCTCTCTCCTTCTCCCCTGCCACGCTCCTCCCTGCCTCTCCTGCATCCCCTTCCTGACCCTTTACCCCCTCGTTTCCTTCCCTTCTCCACTAGTATTTCTCTTTCCTTGCTCCTTTCTAGGTCCATCTCTTACTCTCTCTCATCATTTCTGTCTTGCTGTGTCTCTTCATCTCTCCCTGTGTCTCTGCTCTCCATGGCTCTGTCTCTTGGTCTCTCCTCCACAATCACAGGTGGCCATGCCCAGGGACGGGTCCGGTCCTCCTGGTCCCTGGTCCAGGCCAGTCCAGACCTGTCCAGCTCGCCCTGATCTGCTTGGATTGATCTGTCATCCCCTCTAGACTGCAGCCTGAGTCCTGTCGGTGTCTCGGCCCCCACCCACAGCCTGGTATACTGCAGGTGCTCCACCACCAGCGGGTGGGTGTGTCAGAGCGTATAAGAACCTGAGCCCTGGGTGGGAGGGGGATTGCACTGGTTCAGGCTTAGCCTATTTTCCTCCCCCCCCCTTTTTTTTTTAAATAAACCTTTCCCACTCCCCCACACCCAAATTTGATCCAAAGGAAATTGCTCAACTGTGACTGCCAGGGCGTTACCATGGTTACCGGGTAGCACTTGTGGCTATGGTAACAGGAAGCTGCCTGTTGTCTCGGCAACGAGCACATTGGTAGGGGATGGAGTGGCCCCTGATTGGTGCAGAAGCAGTGCATTTCCTGAGAGGAGGGGGTCAGATCATCACCTTCTCAGGCCAGATGGGCATCAGTACTCCTTCCTCCATGAACAGGAAGGTCGCTGTTCTTTCCTCCCGGCACTCAGCTGTCTGCCCCCCAACAATAATTCCTCACATCCTACGCACCCAGCTTTTGGCAGTTTACAAAGACCTTTTGCATCCCCATTATCTCATGTGATACCCACAACACCCATGAGAGGAAGGTGAGATGGGGATTCAATCATGAATTCTCTCAGGGTGGTTGGGGGATGGGAATGTGTGGGGTGTATATTGAAATCACCTAGGAGCTTTTACAAATTATACAACCCCCCAACTTGAGAGTCTGCTCTGGTTCCCAGGTGATTCTTATCCACCCCTGATCAGGGAACCCCTGAATGGTAAGATGAAATTGGTTGGTGGGGGAGGGGATGGAGGGAGGAGTCAAGCTGCTTTCCAGGTTTATATCTTGGATCAGGTTTGGGCAAAAAGATGAGCTCTGGTTTGGGTGTATTGAGTGGAAGGTGCCGGTAGGACTTTCCAATTGAGATGTCCAGCAAGCAGCTGGGCACGTGGGTCTGGAGCTCAGGAGGGAGGTGTGGGCTGGAGATGCAGAGTTCTGAGTCATCACTGTGGAGACAGTAGCTGAGGCTGTGGGTCTGGATCAGACTATCCAGGAAGGATGGGAAGAGCAATATGAGCAGGGCCGAGGATGGTGCCTTGGAGAACTCCAGCCTCCTCAGGGGGAGAGGGGCCCAGGGAGAGGACTGAGAGGATGAGTGTAGAAACTATGGTAACATGGAAGCTTGGGGAAGGTTTTCCCCATTTGACAAGTTGAATCTGAGAGAGGGTGGCTTACTTGATGTCATACAACCATTAAATGGCAGAGTTGGAGGTAAACAGCACTAAATCTGATTCCCAGATTGTTTAATCTAAATGACACATAGAATTATATTCTCAGTTTTAGAAACAAAACACAAATCTTCAGTATCAGTTCTACTCTCCCACCCAACTTCTCTCACCCAAAGCCTTTAAGGAAGTCCAGGAGCCAGAGGGACAGGTCTCACATGGTCCCTGCCCAGAGCCCAAGGCAAGAGAATCTCTTTAGCCACCACAGTCCATCCTGTGCTCACCACTGAGCTTCCTATCACCCAACCCTTCAGGTTTCAGCACCTTCTAAATTCCTGGGTTTAAGGAAAGAATCTTGGAGAAAATCTATAGTCCCAGTGTGAGAGTGGTGATGCAGAGTTCAAAGGGGCCAGGGCTTAGATCCTGAGGAGTCCAGAGGGAGAGAAGCTGGGTCCCAAGGGCCAGGCAGACATGCTGACTAGGTATGCTGGTCCCATGTCTTTCAGATGAATCGTCCGATCCAAGTGAAGCCGGCTGCCAGTGAGGGCCGAGGAGGTAACTTCTCTGTTTTGACGAACCTCAGAGTACTACCCATGTAGGGGACGGTGGACCCAGTCCTGGAGTCAGTCCTACCCATGGTTTATTACTAGAGTCTCCCTGGGTCAGGGGGACAAATGAGGCCCAAAATTTCTTAGCACTGGAAACAGCTCAGCCTTCCCAGCACAGGCTGAGGAGGGATGGGGTCTTGGGGTCCCCAGACTCAGAAGAGGCAGGAAGGGCCCTGAGAAGATGCTGGAGATAGAGGAAGGGAGCTCTTGCCACCTTGCCCCTGGAGAGAGGTCATTTTTGTTTTTCCAGGTGGAACTTCCAGGTTTGTTTGAAGAACCAGGCTGGAGTTATTCTCCTTTTCCAGATTCTTCTGATTACAGAGAACCCAGTCCACTCTGGATTGGGGCCGCTCATTCCTTCATTGCAATTGCCTGGTTACTTATAGTAAAAGATGAGGCTGGTAAGACAGACTTTGTAGGCCATATTAAGGAATTTGACTCTATGCTGAGGACCATGGAAAGTCTTCAAAGATTTTTAGCTGCATTGTTTCCTAGTGCAGAAAGACCAATGCTCCCTAAGAACAGAAGGGGTAAAGAGCTTGTGCTTTTTGAAAACCATATGCATTCTGGCCAGCTTCCATGCTGGAACAGCAATGTTAGCTTCTGATGTCAGTTCTTGATGTCTTTCTCACCCTTGGTTCTTATATAATTCCAGGATATCTGCCTATAGCCCTCCCTGATGTCTGCTGACTCTCTCCCTTGGATAAGACTCTCTCCCTGGCTTCCCCAAGATCAGCCATGGCTTTGTTAGGTGAAAGAGGCTGCCCAAGGTCAAGCAGAGAACGGAACCCAATTGACAGACATTTATTGACTCCTACTAATTCTGCACACCCTCTCAGACTTCATTCTCAGTGTTCACACCTACAAAGAGCTCTGGTGGCTTCATGGTTCCATTGTGGAGTTCTTTCCTCCAAGAAATCCGTCCTTCATCCTTTTAGATTCTCTGACCTCTGGTCTCTAATTCTTGATTTCTGGTCAAGATGTTATCATCTCTACTTTGTCTTGAAGAGATATTTCCAAGCTTCCTCCCTCCCCTACACACACACATCCTCCTTTCCCATCTCATTCTTTCCAGGCGGGTTTTTGAGAAGTTCCAGGCTGCATACCAAACCTCTGGCTCACTTGTCCCAAGGATTTCTCCTTCTTGGAAAACTCTGTTAGGCATCAGGGCCATTGTTGGCCATCTTCTAAGTCCTGCCCACAACCACTAGATAGTCCCACAGCTGAGAAGCCAGTTGAGAGTACTTGAGTGAGTTAAGAAGCAGACTGCTTGGGTTGTAGTTTATTCTACCATCTAACTAACATCCTCTGAGTAACTTACTCCACATTAGGAATACAGATGTGAGCAAGGCAGATCTGGCACCTGGCCTCATTGAGCGCTGGAGCCATGAGGGAATATAGACAAGTAAACAAGGCTACAATTCAGTATAATCAGTGCTTTCCAAGTCCTGGGGGGAGTGTGGGGACATGAACAAGGGGCACCTAACTTAGTCTGAGAGATTAAAGTGGGCTCCCAGAGGTAGTGATATTTAAGCTGAGATCTCAAGGATGAACAAGAATTAGTCAAATAAAGAAAGGAGGAGAAAGGGAGCAAGTGTTTCAGGTGGAGGGAATAGCATGTACAGAGCTTAGAAGAATATGATGAGACTTGGAGTCTGGTTCAGGAACTAAGTCCACAGTGCTGAGGGCACTACTCCTGCTGTTTGGAGTCCAACACATTTTGTCAGGATGAGGGCAGCTGCACAAAGGAGGCCACCATGCTGATAATGCTTCTGCTTGGCCTGGTCTGTACCTCCTGCCCATCTGGGCCACAAGCAGTGGCATCAGCCTGAGTTTTTTCATTTTACTTCCACATTTTATACAAGTTTTTCAGGTGTCATATCACTGACAAATTCTGTACGTATGGTATCCCACCTATACACCTGTTCAGATTCAGAGCAGCTCAAGAGAGCAGGAAAAGCAAATCTAGCTGAAAAGAGGTCTGCCTGGCAGTAGAATTCATAATTTTAGTAGTTATGTGTTACACAGATTTTTCTTGACAAGTGATGGCTCTTAATGAGCATATTCTCCAAATGCATCCGTGGATAATCCTTCTTGCAGGTTTGGATGACCAGGTCTCTCAATTCCTCCCTGCTCCCACTCAGAGTCACCCAATGTTCCCTGCTACAATTCTGGAGAGAGGAGGCATATGTACTAAGTCTTGCAGAACAGTTGGGCCTTTACAATTTATAAGTATTTTACTACCAATTGATCTGTGTTAGATAATCTTCTTACTAATCAAAATGTGTTCCTTTTCTTCAATGTTATCATATATCTCTTTTAAAGTGAGTTCAGCTCTCTGCTGAATTTTAACACACACTAATGCTTTAGAAACTTAACTTTTAAAAACGGTATTGGATTTTGCTTTTGCAATGTAGCATTTAACACCAAGGTGGGATAGCTTGTCCCATTCAAGTCTTATCTCTGTGACCCCAAACATTCTATAAACTTTCAGAGTTAATGGTCACACCTGTCCTGATATATTTAAGCCTGTGAGCCTCCATATTTTTTTATAGTTCTGAAATTAAATCCTTTAGTTTACAATTGATTAATAATGATTTCTATATCTGAGAAGGATACTGGTATCAATGCAGACGTAATCTGAGGAGTATCAAGACAAATATAACCTTCCAAAATTCTGCCATTTTCTTCTAGAAGGGATTATTAGATTTTTTCTTCCCATAAAACAGGGATCACCACCTCAAATGCTACAGGAGCCAGGTTGGCAACCCTAAATGGGTGAGACTATTAGGATTTAAAGGAAGATTTACATCTTAATTATATTAAACGTTGGCAACTAATTCGAGTTTTTAAAGTGGACCAATACTGTGAGAGCCTAACCAAACCTATCAGGTTTGCTTCTTTCGCCCAAGACCATTTGCCATAAAGGAGTATTCTATTGTGCACACACGAGCTTTTTAACAAAAGTAGTAACTTTACATTCTGTCTCTTGAATTTTGATGCCAATGCAACAGAGTAGTATTCTTCTTATTTTTAATCAATAGACATGAGGTTTGTGGTTGAAACAACCTATATTGTAAACACACTGTACGTTGTATATTACTTTTATAAGTTATTGATAACATTTGCACATTCAGTGCCTGTTACAATGCAATAATAGTAGCAACACAACAGGATCTGCCTGACAGAAGGTGCTAGGGTCTTCTTCGTCCCCAGGCATCCCCTGCAGCCTTGGTGGCACTTTTCTCAGAGTGCCAGATGGGCATTCAGGTCTCCAGGTCTTCATTGACCATATTATAGCCCTTTTAATGTATCCCAGCCAGTTCCCATAAATTCTGCAGCTAAGTTCCACACTGTTCACACAATCCATGCTTCGTGCCTGTATTTTACATCCTGTGGCATTGAGCAGTATACTCTTAACAGAAAATTCATCTAATTTTCCAAAGAGAAATTGTCTCCTAACGTACTAAAGGCACCCATTTCTACATTAAACATACATAGTGCCAGAAACTTTCCCTCAGCATTTGGATTTATTTGAATATGAACATTAAAATGTTTGCCTGGATAAAAATTTAAGGTTCATGTATTTTAAAATGTTAACCTCAGATTATATGAGGTCAGATCTAGGGATCTCCAAATCCCTCAGGCAATGCTAACTAAATAAGTCTATTTTATTTGCTATTCAGCATGGAGACGGTGGTTGATTTTTCCTAACTTGCATTGTCTCTATTATGGAAGCATTAAAAATAAGTTAAACTGTAAGTACCAATCCTATAGGAAAAGTATTTTTTAGTCCTAAGGCAAAATCTTCAAAATCATTGAACTCCTGTATATTCTTTCCCCTCTTTCAAATTTTATAACATAAAATCAATACATTCATAAATCACAATGGTGATTGCTCTGCTTGTTCCATTCCCCAACTTGGGTGTATTTTTTACTTAGCAAATATTTATGTACCCAAGATGCCTAAGGTACTGAAATAAGTTAAGTATCAATTCATACACTCTTTTCACTTTAGTTTTTTTTTAACTTTAAAATTTGAAACATTCTGTGAGTGAACCACCTCTTTTTTAATCTTGAAATTTGGTTTAACTCCAAAGCCAATTATCTGTTATCACATCAACCCCCCTATCACCATCCTATAATTAGTTAAGTAATTCCTGCCTGAATTTGCAAGGGTTTGGTTAAATATCAGCCTGGATTTTGAGTAACAAACATATATTACTATCTAACTAGGTGAGCCATCTTTTCCAAATTTTTTCTAGGATTCTATTTTATTCAAGGTTTAACAACTAAACTTCGAGTTAAAGTTAAATTTTGAGCTAGAATTTTCAGAATTGCATAATACTGGGACATATTCTCTGACCTAAATCAGATATAGACTTTAGCAAAAACTGTTGTATCAGTCAGTTGACACTCATATCTGTCTTTGATCCTTATACTTATTTAATTCTAAAAAGTATTTTGCCAACTAAGACTTGACTGGATAAGTTTCACAGTACTGCTTAAGACTTTACTCGAGTTAATGTTTCACTTCCTGAAATGCATTCTACCTCCAAAGGTGAAGAGAGGTGCTTTCCTTCAGCTTGACTCAGAACGGATCACCCAAATCTAACTATTGTAATACTTTTAGGCCATGGCTATGGCTGAACCTCTGACAAGCCCCTCAAATACAGGTGTACAGCCTGCAAAAGGAAAATGCATCTCTGGAGGCCGAGATTCTTCTTAAGGGAACGTGGAAGCCCAGGCTTGGCCCACCTTTCTTACTCACCTCCTGGCTCTCCTGGATCAGGATGAAGGGACAGCGGAGTCTCTCTTATTTTATTGGTCTAAATCTCTATTTTTCAGTGCTCCTTAAAGCCCTTCTTTACTTTATTTTTTTTTAATTGTGTTAAAATAGACATAATATGAACTTTACCATTTTTAAGTGTACAGTTCAGTAGTGTT